ATTTCCGAAGGCTGAACCTGTTCCATGTCTTTTCCGAATGACGTCTATAATCTCAGACCGTCACCGCTGCCGTCTGCGTGAATAAACACCATCTTTCTTACCTCACCCTGCCTTTCAGACGGCCTACACAAAAAGGAAAGACAATGAGTGGCATACCAGAGTCACACAGCATCAGGAGGAGTTTTATTTTAGAGTCAGGCTTTATTGGAAAAGCGCGTTTGCACATACTAGAAATTTTTCTTCAGTTAAAAAACAGCCCAGAGTTTACAAGAGAGCGTTGACCCGAAACGAACTGCTGAGCGTGGCCGAAACGTCACAAAATGCACCAGCAAACTCCACCAGTTTTCCAGAATTCCCCCCATGATTCAGTGTGTGAGATGTAATCAGAGTGATTCAGAGAGGTTTGGTGTGAAATGGTTCAGATGTCTTTACAGTGGTGGTGATAGGAACCAGGGGTCGCCATGACTACAACACAGATATAGACATTTTATTTACTATCCAGAACCACCAGTGAACACAAGATTTTATACACTATATGGCCAATAGTATGTGGACGCCCCTTCTAATTATTGGGGTCAGGTGTTTCAGACACAGCCATTGCTAACAGGTGTAAGCGCTAACGCTGCGTCCCAATTGCGCACTTAATACTAATACTAACTAGTGTTTCAGTATGTAGTATAGTCACAAGTGTCAAAGTTGAGTATACTCAAAAATCCACAATGCATACTTAGAACCAGTCGATTTTTGAGTATAGTAACGATGGACGATGGAGCTTCTCACGTCTGGAAAATTCTGAAAAAACGTCAGACGGCGACGCGAGAGCAGCTGCGATGGTAGCAGCACCAGAAATGGTGTATAAATGTGAACTCATCCCAAATTTGTAAAACATTCTGTAAAAAAACAAATGTTTTCATTTATTAACGTTTCTGTAAAAAATTTGTTTGTGAACGCGTTAATTTGTTAGCCAGCCTTCAGAGTCTAGCTTGCTATGATGTGCGTTGTCATAGCAACAGTTCGTCACTTCCTGTTAGTGAGAATGGTGTAGTATGTTAATATTTTGTGTACTAACCTGTCGAGCTCATACTATTAAGATCAGCACGCAGTATATACTGTATAGTACTAGTGTGTAGTACACAATTGGGACGCAGCCATAGCCTTGCAGTCTCAACAGACAAGCACTGGCAGTAGAGGGTCGTACTGACGAGCTCAGTGACTTTAAACATTGCGCTGTCATGGGATGACACCTCTGCCACAAGTCTGCACAAATTTCTGCCCTGCTAGAGCTGCCCCGGACAGCTGTAAGTGCTATTAATATTAAATGGAAGCATCTAAGAGCAGCAACAGCTCAGCCACAAAGCGGCAGACCACGCAAACTCACAGTGCGCTGTGGTATCCCAGGCGGTCGCCGTGTGCTGAAGCGTGTAAAATCGCCCATCCTCTGTTGCATCACAGCTGAACAGAGCTAATCCGCCGGGGCAGTGACTAATGCCGGCCAACGTTAACCAGATCTCTTAAACCTACACAAACGAGGCAGAGCCCTGCCTTTAAGCCTGTAACAGTAGAGGAGTTAAGCGTGATTATAATGGTACAGTGTGTAGTAAACCATGCGGACGGTATGTCTATAGGTGGGGTGTGCGTTTCACCTGTCTGTGAAACCATTGTTTTGCAATCTGAGCTCTGCTGCAATTTTAATGATGCACGCTTAGTCACAGGAGACACTCCTTTAAACTCTCCAACCCAGACTGCACCTTCACTCCGAACACAGACCTCACACTGCCCTCCAGGAGATCGTTTTCCATGATTCTGAGGCTACAAAACAAACTCACCTGTTTCGCTTAGTCTTAGACTTAGTCCATAAGGCCGATATATGGCTTCAAAAAAGCCTGTTTTGAACTTTGTTTCTGTGATGTCACAATACTTCACAACATACCGTTCACTCCGCAGTCCATACTGTCCACAGAAGGAAATAACTTTGAATTCACTGCTTTTGTGATGTCACAAAAAACAGCACTTATTACATATACCTGCCAACAATAGTTTAGCCCCACCCATTCGTGCTGAACGGTTTAAGGGATAAATTGGTCATGTAAAAATTAATCATGACTGGTTTTGGATTAATCATAATAATAAGTAATAAAAATGAGTTTGGATTAAATAACTAGTAGTAACAGCGAAAACAGTAAAAATAAATAAATAAATAAATAAAGCATGAATATAAATCTCTCTTTATACACTCATTGTCCATTTTATCAGCTCCACTTACTATATAGGAGCACTCTGTAGTTCTACAGTTACAGACTGTAGTCCATCTGTTTCTCTGATACTTTGTTAGCCCCCTTTTACCCTGTTCTTCAATGGTCAGGACCCCCATGGACCCTCACAGAGCAGGTACTATTTGGGTGGTGGATCATTCTCAGCACTGCAGTAACACTGACGTGGTGGTGGTGTGTTAGTGTGTGTTGTGCTGGTACGAGTGGATCAGATACAGCAGTGCTGCTGGAGTTTTTAAACACCTCAGTGTCACTGCTGGACTGAGAATAGTCCACCCACCAAAAATATCCAGCCAACAGCGTCCTGTGACCACTGATGAAGGACTAGAGGATGACCAACACAAACTGTGCAAGGCAGGAGTGTCTAATAGAGTGGACAGTGAGTGAACACAGTGTTTAAAAACTCCAGCAGCACTGCTGTGTCTGATCCACTCGTACCAGCACAACACACACTAACTTAGGTTCTCTTTGTAAGCAAACCTGCAGTTGGGTAGTGATTTTAGTACTGACTATATCCATATTATACTCAGAAAAGCATACTGTGACACATTGTGACATGATTTATCATACTGTACAGGCCTGTGCCTGCACTCTTAATTTATTTATTATTATTTTTTTACAAGCACTGAATCAAACTGCAAATTATGGACACAATGTCACAAAATGAACCAGTAAACTCCAACAACTTCCAAAATTTCTGCATAATTGAGTGTTTGAGATGTAAACAGTCATTCAGAGTGGAATGGTTCATTGTAGTGACTCATTTCTTCACAGCAGTGATGCACATCATGTATTGTGATGTAATACTTTTGTTGCTAGAATTGGGCAATATGACAATATTTACTGTTATCGTGATAAATTACATCACAATATGTCTCAATATGCTTTTCTGAGCATACTGTGGATATCGTCAGTACTTAAAACACTTCCCAGCTGCACGTTTGATTACAAAGAGTTTAATTAGTCCTTTTTAATTGGGTTTAGTGCAGCTTAGATTTTTGATGGTATTTTTAATTAACTTGTCAGATGGCAGAAAAAACAAATATTGTGATGTTACATTTTGCCATATCACCCACCTTTACTATAAACCACAAGCACACACGAAAGCCTCATACAAGACTGACCTTACTATATAAGAGCAGAGGCCAATAACAGGACAGAATAAAGAGTCTGAATAGAAAAACTGCACCTTTTTTCACAGGAGTGATGCCAAGGCTCTCTCCACTATAAACACCCAGCATAAACAATGGAAAAAGTCCAGTGGAAACGAAGGCCTTGGCCCGGGTCAGAAATACAGCCTCATGCATATAAACACTGAACGTGGCCTTCTAACAGGCAGTTCGCTTTCAATTCGCTCCCTCATCCAGCAGAGACAGAGGTTTAGTATTTCAAATCATATATACAACTTCCAAACACGCTAGCGGCCTATAAGTTAGGCTGTAGCCTAATTCTGACACCAGTGCAGTCAACAACCAATTTGGGAAGTGTGGAAGTCAATAGTCACCCGAACCATTTCCTCAAAATACATGTCCAAAAACTCTCAAACCGCAGAACAAGTCGATGTGGTTTAGAACAGAGTGGACTATAAAAACAGAATAAAACTTCTCCAAGAAGGTGCAGCCTTTCAGGAGAACCGCAGTCACATCTTTCCTGAGCACGATCTCCGCACAAGACGACCAAAGACGCAAGGTAACATGGGTAGAGAATCTAAGAGCTAAAAGAGCGTACTCCGAAAAATCAATACAGCGTCCAGCTATTAATCTGAAAAACATATGTTTTAGCACAAATGAGCCTCCACCATACATGTCTGAAGATAAAGAGCCTCAGTTCCTCATCTTTGTAGGTTTATTGTTACTCGATAGGCAACGTTTCACTCTCTTACAGTAAACAAGACTTATGTTCACACTGAGAACACAAAATATGTGGAATAGTTTGTCATCATGATAAATTATGTCACAATACATGTTTCTGAGCATATCGTGGATGTTGTCAGTACTTAAAGAACAATGAGCAACTACATTTCATTACAAGGGCATAATTAGTGCTTTTTAACTGGATCTAGTGCCATTTGGAAAACACTGAATAACAATCATTATAGTTGTGTGTTAATTATTATTTTTATTATTACTTTTTTTATATATGTGACACTGCAGGTTCTGTTTTGTCTGTTCCAACTTATTAAATCTCAAAACTAAATATCGTGACACGTATCGTACATCAGGAAACTGTCTCGAAGTATCATAATGTTTTTGCTATATCGCCCACCCCTATGTATTCTCTCATTTTCTTGAGAGAGCAGCCTCGAACACGCCCACAGGAGGCAAACCTGAGGCGACAATAGCAACTTGTAGCCTCCTAACTTGAACATACAGTCAGGTATTACTATGCTAACACTATGAACCCACGCAGGGACGTTGCGTAACGCCCCAGAGTCTGACGGTGGAAAACAGGATGTTACGCAGAAAATAATGTAGTTACAATTTTAGCTAAAATGAGTAAATAAGGTTTTAATTATTTTTCAAAGAGTTTACATAGCTTATCATTGTAACACAAAGCAAATATATTAAAATAATTGGCTGTAATTGAAGAAAGGGTTTGGGTGACTATTGACTTTAAGTGTTTGTAAGCATCGCTAGCTTAGCAACTCCAGTTTCCAAACTAAAGAAGCAAAACTTGAGACAACAAACATACATGTGTTAGCTGATCAACTGCATTTGTGGTGTGTTTTACCTGTGCTTCTCGGCTTCCGCCTCCTCCAGCGCTCTCTTACTCTCCGGCTCTCCATCTGCCGGTTCTCTCCCCTGAAAAGAAACCCGCATTAGTGCATCCAAAGCTTAATCGTAGGAGAAATACAAGATTAATCACAGTGTAAGCATCCAATTTACTATCAGCCATCATTAAATAGCAGACTGCACCCAGCTGATCCCCCTCCCTCACTCCTCCCTTTCCAAGCGTGTAGTAGAACCTACGGTGGACGTCAGGTTTTTAGTCGTCATCTGTCCCAATTTCGTTTTGCTTCTTTAACTTTTCTCTTTGATGGTGAGGATTCACCCTCTCTCACTTTTTCTTGTGCTAAATAATAAGTCTGATCCTCCATTTGTCAAAATTTGGGCTCTCAAACTTCTCACAGCACAAAATGGTCAGCAGCACCGGAGCAACAACCGATTCTTCTTCGTTCAGCGTCTTCCGACCGGAGCTACAGCGCCACGAAATTCAAGCTGACTCTTCAGCGTAAAAATGCGAAAGGCGCCCTCTAGAGCCAGAGTTTGGTTTGTCGGTATAATTTATCACAATAACGATAAACACTGTCATATTGCCCAGCTCTACTGGCTACTATTTAAAATATACACACACACACTGATCAGGCAAAGCATCATGACCACCTCCTTGTTTCTATGCTCATTGTCCATTTTATCAGCTCCACTTACTATATAGGTGCACTTTGTAGTTCTACAGTTACAGACTGTAGTCCATCTGTTTCTCTGATACTTTGTTAGCCCCCTTTTACCCTGTTCTTCAGTGGTCAGGACCCCCATGGACCCTCACAGAGCAGGTACTATTTGGGTGGTGGATCATTCTCAGCACTGCAGTAACACTGATGTGGTGGTGGTGTGTTAGTGTGTGCTGTGCTGGTCTGAGTGGATCAGACACAGCAGTGCTGCTGGAGTTTTTAAACACCTCAGTGTCGCTGCTGGACTGAGAATAGTCCACCAATACACAGATAAATCTGTGACATTCTAATGAAAAAAAGGAATCTGGCTTATGTGTTCACGGTGTGTGCAGATCCACATGTACTACTAAATGTCAAAAATGTATTAAAAGAAAATACCAGATGTACTTTTTAATCTAGGAAGTGGTCTGGATTAAACTGGCTAAGCCAAATGTGGCCACAGTAATCAAGAGTTACTCTAATTCTGATGAGAAACTGTGCAAACAGTTTTGGTCTACTGAAGCACATTCAGCACTCATCATCATTATCATCATCAATATCTAAACTGATGATCACTAAAAGCCTGAGACATCTTAAGTCTCACATTGTACCTGTAGATTAAAGGGTCAATATCATGGAAAGTTGAATTTTCCTCATTTCCATACTGAGTTTGACGTAGTATGCAAACTAACGGACGCACCAATATGTGAACTGTAAGCCAAAGCCGATATCTGATATTTTTCATATACGTACTGGGCCTAAACGATTTGGTTAAAACATCTAATTGCGTTTTTTGGAACTAATATTGCGACTGCGACTCAAATTGCGCTTATTTTCTATAGAGTACGGTTCAGGCCTGTTTCTCAGCCAAGAAGACTAGAATATCCCAATTTTTTCTGGCTTGAAACTTGACCTCCGAATGCAGTGCACCAGACTGCCAGTAAGTTGTGGTTGTGATGTCACAGCACATGGAGGTTTGGCTGCCTCCATTTGGTCTAACTCATCTACAGGCCGTTCCCCAACTCTGTGAATCCCTCACAGAAAGTTCCTACATGATATGGTTATGAATTCACTGCCTGATGACTGAGACACTGTTTTATGATAGTTTAGAGAACTTAAACTCCATTCATGGTGGAGGGATACATAATATGCAGGGTGCTGTGAGGCAAAATAGTCCCCAAAGAAACCTTATTATTTCAGATTTTCCACTATTTTCCATCATCAACATTCCATATAAACTCAGAAGACTCGTGTAGGTTCACTGGTGGTTCTGGATAGTAAATAAAATGTCTATATTTGTGTTGTAGTCATGGCGACCCCTGGTTCCTATCACCACCACTGTAAAGACATCTGAACCATTTCACACCAAACCACTTTGAATCTCTCTGTCTACGTCCTCGAGACAGTATTATACAGAAACATTGAAATTCGGTGGAATGCCCCTTTAAAGATCAACGCGGCTGTAGTTAGCTGCTTATTGTAGAACGAGACGCCAAAAAAGACACGCAGAAGTCGCCTTCTGGAGAAACTGCTGCCTCAGAAATACACCAATAACATGAACTGTAACTCCGGTGGAGTTAAATCTCATCTGAGGAGAGAAATATATCAGTTTATCTGTTTACTGAGCTGCTAGGCTAGGCTAGGCTAAGCTAAGCTAAGCTAGCTCCACTGCCCTGCTGCGCGCTGCTCTTTAGCCGTTAGCTACAGGACTCCGTGATGCAGGTTGAGCATTAAATTAAAGCTCTTTTTACTGAGCTCACCTGAAGCTGCCTTTCTTTGAGAGCTTTTAATCTCTCTTTCCTTTTCAGAGCCTGCTCCTGCAGTGACCCCGCAGCGCGCTCCATCGCCACAACACAGCCGCTAAGCTAACGCAAGCAGACTAAGGCATCTAAACAGAGCGCCGAGCACATCGATCATCCACTGCTCTGGATGAAACCCGGTTCTATTAAACGTCCTCACACAACTGTTAACCCTTTCTTTTTTAATTTAATTTCATATGTGTTACTAAATAAATAATTATAAGCAGTTACACAATAAGATTATAAGAAAAATAGTTATAGAATAACAGTTATGCAGAATAACAGAATAACACACCTTAACATGCACCTTAATATTTATCTCATACTTTACTTCAATTTGTCTACTTTTTTATTTTTTTTTTATTTCTACCTAATTTATGTCTATTTCTATTTCTGCCTATTATATGTATATTTTTATTTCTGCCTAATTTATGTCTATTTTTATTTCTGCCTAATTTATGTCTGCTTTTATTTCTGCCTAATTTATGTCTATTTCTATTTCTGCCTATTATATGTATATTTTTATTTCTGCCTAATTTATGTCTATTTTTATTTCTGCCTAATTTATGTCTATTTTTATTTCTGCCTAATTTATGTCTATTTTCCTTTGCCTAATATATGTCTATTTATATCTAGGGTGTTGCTAGGTGGTTGCCATGGTGTATAGTCCAGGATTAAACACTCCTTATAACTTTGATGTGAATGGGTGGGGCTGAACTACTGTGGGTGAAAAAGGTGCGTGCATGAGTTGTAGTTTATCGTACTACATAAGCACATCTCCTCCATTAATGTGAAGAAATGAAAAAGCAACACAACAGGCTCCGTTTCCTCTCACCAGTTCCCTCACGAATTTGGCGCCGCTCTGGTGGCGTCACCACGCAGCCTGGTTAGGACTGCTCCATTTGTGTGACCAACAGGCTACTAAGGAGGAGTCTTCATAGGACAGTCCTACTGAGGACCCACGCTACCTCAGCTGCAGCCTCGGCTCTGGAACACAGCTAAAGAGTGACCAATAAACTCATTAGTAGAGGAAAATATCTGTATTGCTTTGAATGAAGGGATCAGTTAAATACAGTTAAATAAGGTGATTTATTTGAGCAGATTTAGGTCTGTATGGCTGTTAGGAAGAACGCGGCACTTTTCCAGGTCATTCAAATTCAGCCCAGCCACTATTTATTTGCATTTTGTTTGCATGGTCCTGAAAGGGTCTACTAGGCCTCACATGGGCTTTAGCTTGACAGCACAATGTAAATTCATTTTCTGACTGTTTTGCAAGCCTGAAGAAAGATTCCACATCTGTCTATAAAGCAAACCCTTGAAGGGGATTTTCACCCTGTTTTCAAAATTTCTGCATATTTAAACAGTTAAGATGTAAACAGAATGATTCAGAGTGGTTTGGTGTGAAACGCTCCGATCTAGATAAACTTACCAGAGTCAGAACTGTTCACAGTGGTGGTGATAGGAACCTGGACAAGGTTGCACCAGTTTTGCGTAAGTTTATGGTGCAGCTCATTCTGATTTAGTACTGATAAACCAGAACTTAGTAAATACTTACGGTATAACTAGCCTATGTCTGAACTTACACACAGCTGGTGCAACTGGCCGCAGATGTCCGCCTCTAAAAACTCCCCTAAATTTAACCTCTAAAAGGGTGATAATCTAAGCATCTCATTGGTTGAGTCAGGAGGTCTTGTTTATCAAGTAGCACGACACAAGAGTGACAACAGCTGTGTTTTAGGTATTGTTTAGATTTTTATTATTCTTTTTATTAATTTTATTTTCACACACACACACACACACATTTTCTAAACCACTTATGCTTCTGGGTCGTGGGGGGAGCTGGAGCCTGTGCCAGTGGTCACTGGGTGGAAGGCAGGATAAACCCTGGACAGGTCGCCAGTCCATCGCAGGGTGGACGATATTTACTTTATTCTTTTTTATTTTATTTATTTATTGCCAATTTATTGTCTTACATTTACTATTTCTTGATTTATTTAATTAATTATGTTTTTATTTATTTTATTCTTATCTGGTCTGTTATTTATTAAGTTACTATATTGTAATTTTAACAGTTTATTGATTTTTTTTTCCTTTTTACTATTCAATTTTGCTACTAGGACCATTATTGCTTTTTCAGCATTTGATATATTTTTACTTTCCAATGTCTCACTCCTTGATCTCTGTATTGGCTCAGCTACATTGTAAATGAGGGTCTCCGTCAATGTATTCTGAGTTTTAGTAAAACTTGATTGATTGATTGATTGATTGATTAATAACAGTGTTGTACGTATGTGTTCTGTATGAATGCAGGCACAAAAAACATGCATAAAGTCTCGTTTGCACATACACTGAAGCACGGCATGAACATGCTGGCGCAAGCATGCACACAGAAACATGCACAGACACCATAAAATATAAAGAAAAATGTGTGGAGGTGAGTGAACACTGCACACTGTGCACGTAGCGCTGGAGATACAGTGTAGCGTAAGAGTTCACACGTTTGCAGGAACAGATGTGCAAACATAAAAAACAATGCATCTTACATTCCACACATTAAAGAGCCCATATCCCACATTTGTCTAACGTTTTATTATATTGTTGTTTGTTTGTTTATGTGGGGTTTATGTATCAAAACCAGTCATAATTCATTTGTACATGACCATTGTTCACCTTCTGCTTTCGTTACTGTGTCTTTAAAGAGGAATTCCACCTATTTTTCAAAATTCCCCCAGAATTCAGTGAGTGAGATGTAAACAAAGCTGAATCATTTCACTCCAAACCACTCTTAACCATTTAATTATCCAAAACAAAAATGAAAGAAAAAAAAGGCTAGAATTCTCCTTTAAGCCTCACATATCACTGCTGTCGAAACAAAACTTTGTATCTCCATTTTTAACGATTTTCAGTTTTTGACATATTTTGAAAAGGCCTGTTGCTCTTTACACTGTGTGTAAATTTCATGAAGAATGGACCAAAAGAAATGACACAAAATTATTTGGAAAAAATTCTGGTTCCATTGACTTACATTAAAAGTGAATTATGTTTTTTGCTTCTCCTGTAAAGTTACCATTTTGGAGATACGAGGTTTTGTTCCGACAGCAGGGATATGTAAACGAGCTTGTTCTGGTTGGCTGCCTGATTCAACAAGCAAGTTCAAGCCCAAATGATCCTTGTCACTCCAGCATGAATGGGAGGGGCTAAACTATTGTAGGCTGAACAGGAGGACGCATGTAAATGTGTTGGTCTTTGTGACATCACAAACACAAATAATTTAAAATAGGCTGTTTTTGTAGCTTAGAGAGAATAAAAGTGAGAATTTGTTTAGCTTTTTCGATTATAGGATTAACGGGCTCATATCACGGAAAAACTAATTTTCCTGACGGTTCTGAAATATAGTTTAGTGTAGCATATAAACACTCCACTCAGTCCACATGTAGAAACTTACATCTACAAGGTGGACCGACAAGGTAGCAGTGTCTAATAGAGTGGACAGTGAGTGGACACAGTGTTTAAAGACTCCAGCAGCACTGCTGTGTCTGATCCACTCGCACCAGCACAACACACACTAACACACCACAACCACATCAGTGTTACTGCAGTGCTGAGAATGATCCACCACCCAAATAGTACCTGCTCTGTGAGGGTCCATGGGGGTCCAAGGGGGCTAACAAAGTATGCAGAGAAACAGACGGACTACAGTCTGTAACTGTAGAACTACAGAGTGAAACTAGGTGGTCAGTGAAGCTGATACAGTGGACAGTGAGTGTAGAAACAAGGAGGTGGTTGTAGGGTATGAGCCCTTTAAAGTTCCGCGCGCTCTCCGGCGCCCCGCGCGGACGCGGTTGGGAAGTCTCAGGGCGGAAAGTGAGCGTGCCTGCCTGCCTGTGCGTGCGTAGTGCAGAAAACAGAGCGTTTTTGAAGTTGGTCCGAGACTCTCGCGATCTGGGGGATGCGCGCTCGCGCCCGTACCGTTCTAGGGTGTGTTTTCTTTTTCCACACGTCGCTCGCTTTGCTCTCTGAGATCTGCGCGCGGGTTCGCCGCGACTGAGCCATGCGTCGCGAGACACGGACAACTTTGACTTCTTCAGGAAAGCTGGGAGCTCGAGTCTGCCGCCGCTGAAGAGGAGCATGCACGCGGACGCGTTCCCTTCCGAGCGCGCGCTGGAGCGGAAAAGACGCCGCGTGAGCTTGAAAATATAAACTTAGATGGTCTAAATTGGGTGATTTGGGCGCTGAGCTCGAGAAAGGGAGCCGGAGAATGGCCTCCAAGGAGCGGCTGTACGAGCTGTGGATGTTATTCTACACCAAGGTGAGTGCATGGCTGGCCGCACGCGCGGACAACACCTGTTGACACCTGTTGTTGGTTTGGGGAGTTCAGTTTAGCGGGCTCGCGCATAAATCACCGGTCTTCATCATCGTGTGCACGCTGTTTTTAGATGGTAGTTGAAAAAGAAAACAAACAGCCAAACAAAACGACACTTTCAGGAAGTACGAGGAGGGGGGCGAAAACATTTGACCATATCTCGCCCTGAATGCCGAAGCACGTGCTAAACGCGATAACTGGATAACTGTGGTATAAATCTATTCGCCGTTTACGGTATTGTGGCCAGTTTTATTGTTGTTTTTCAGTTATTCAGTATTACGTACCTGTGAGCCAGGTAGGCAGGTAGGCAGGTAGGCTGTGGTCTGATTGTACACTTCCTTATTGTTTTCCCTGCAAACCCATATTGTTTTAACGACCCACATAATATATGATTGTACTATATTATGCATGCATTGTTAATCTACGGTTGTTATGAAGTTAGCTCCCTATTCGCCGTGCCTCTTGTTGAAATTGTCCATTTCACCTTAAATGACCCGTTCCACCTTAAATGAATAACCCTATTAACCTTATTAATGAATTAAGTGCTTTTCGCCATGCCTCTTTGTTGGAATTGTCCGTTCCACCTTAAATTCTCACTTCCATCTTAAATAAATAACTTCATTAATCTGCAGTTGTTTTTTAAGAAGTCATGAAGTCACAATGCCACCTTGTTGTAATTGTCCATTCCACCTTAAATGATCAGTTCCACCTTAAATGAATAACTTTATTAACCTTCTTAAT